AAAAAAAAAAAAAAAATGGCAGAAACATGTGAAGGTATCCAATTTTAATTTCATTAGATATGTCCAAGTGTAGCGAGAATAGTCATCGACGATTGTTAAGAAATAATGTGCACTAGATAAAGTGGCAGTGGGATAGCCTCTCCATATATCACAAAATATGCAATTAAAAGCAAAAGTACTTTTATTGATAGGAGAATTAAATTTTAGACGCGACAATTTGCCTCCAGTACAAACATCACAAGATTGCATGGGAATGAAAAATATTTAAAAACTTATTTGGAGTATGAAGAGATGGATGACCTAAACGTTGGTGTCATAAGTGGGTAGACAGAATAGACACAGAGGCTAAATTGGAGGGTTGAGTAAAGAAATAGAGACCATGGTGGACTTCTCCTGCTCCAATCTGCTTCTTTGTCTTGATGACCTGAAAAACACAAAAAATGGGAAAAAAAGAGCAAGACATTGTAACGATTGAGCAAGTTGTGAAACAGATAAAAGCTTGTATTGAAAATTGGGAACATAAAGAACGTGATGAAAATTGATATGTGAAGATAAAGAAAATGAACCAATACGAGTGACAGCTACTAAATCTCCATTGGGGAGAGTGACTGAGTGCAGACGATCGATAGGATGAATTATAATGAATCCATCGAGTGAGGAACACATGTGATCGGAGGCACCTGTGTCAATAATCCAAGGGCGAGTAATGGAATTCAGGTGAGTTGTTGTATATTTACCTTCCTTAGATATCTTATTTGTGTAGAAAACTTGCACAAAATCAGGCTGTATATTTACTTTCCGTAGGATCTGGCCATTATGATTATTAGCTTCCATTCATATCCTTTGTAAAAATCCAATGGTAGCACATTACAGAAAATTTGGTTATCTATCAGTTTACATGGTATCAGAGCAATTCCAATCATTTGCCTTTGCCATCTTCTAATCTGACCCACCATGTGGTCCATGTCTGACATTCCCAACACCCTCCCGTCAATCCTTCTCATGGGGTTTCTCCGACCCTTTCTACCATGGCACAACTCATTGGTGATGTATCTTTTCCATATTTCCTACACTCCTCCGATCATGTAAATTGACAGATAACCAATTTTTCTGTGTATTTTTTGTAATGCGCTACCACCGGAATTATACAAAGGATATGAACGGAAGC